CAGTCTTAGGCTGGTCACTTGCTCTCTGAATATTGACTTCTATATGTGTAAAATGAAGTAATAATGTTCACTCTCTTATGAGGCTGTTTTAAGGAACAAATGAGTTATCTATCTGTGAAACACCTTTATAAGCTCCAAAGTACTCTTTCAAATGTTAATTATATAACTTTGTTAGTAATTGAAAAAATTAGCTTAGGTCTTTGCAACATCTAAAGAACTGCTGGCTGGGCCAGTGGCTCATGCCTGTAATCCCAGCACTTTGGGAGCCCGATGCAGGCAATTCACTTGAGGTTAGGAATTCAAGATCAGCCTGGCCAACATGGTGAAACCCTGTCTCTACTAAAAATACAAAAATTAGCCAGACATGGAGGCGGGTGCCTGTAGTCCCTGCTACTCGAAAGGCAGTAGATTCTCCTAGAATCGCTTGAACCTGGGGGGCAGAGGCTTCAGTGAGCTGAGATCTCGTCACTGCACTCTAGCCTGGGTGACAAACCAAGACTCTGTCTCCAAACAAACAAACAAACAAACAAAAACCTGCTGAATTGCTTTTGTTGCTCTACATTGGTTTAAATGCATGGTCTAGCATGATAATGGTAGTCTGGCAATACACATGTTCCTGGCCAAGCCAACCATTTATTCTTCAAGATCATGCTTGCTCCTGAGCTGCTGAATAATTTCCAAAGAAAATCACTTAACATGCCAAAATGCTTTCACTTTAAATTCATGATCCTGACACTCCGATGCACATTTATTACTTCTTAGTAATTACTGAAAGTTGCTGAAATTTTCTAGTAAGCCCACTCTTCTACCCTCCTAGATGATTATTTCCTATTAGCCTCTCTCCAAGGTTACCCAAGGTTTTACTTCTGACCATGATGGAATAACAAGGACTGGACTTAACTTCCTGCCACAAACAACTAGAAAACTAGGCAAAATACATAAAACAACTGTTAGCTATAACTGCCCCCAAATTTCTGCCTGGAGGTAGTTTCCAGACCTTGAGCATAGAAAGGTAAACCCAGTGTCTAGGGACCTTATCGAGGAGACAGAGATCAGAGTTCACAGATGTGGAAATTGAAGGGCAGAGTTTTGGAAAGGATGAAGCTATACAAATAAATAAAAATTTAAAACTCACAAATCGAAGACTTTGCTAAATACTTGACTGTTCATATATGGATTGACAGTCCAGACAGTCAAGCATAGAATGACCAGGAAGTTTAAGCTAAATAATTCCTATAGCTCACAGAGGATGAGAAGACATTTGAGCACTGATCAGCCAGAGGGAAGAGTTCTCAGTGAAAACCAAGGAATTCAGTGAAGACCTCTGAGCAGTTATTAATTAGTAGTAGGGCGAAATTATTCCTGGAATGAAGACCACTCTAGACCTACCCTAATAAAGCTTAAAAACAGTCCTCAAATGAATCAAATTCATCCACAAATAACTGGCTGAAAAAAAAAGTGCAACCCTTCCTAAAGGGGGACAACAAACTTCAGATATTCAACAAGGATGAAATTCACAATGTCCAGTATTCAATAAAATAATTATTAAACATGCTAAGAAGCTCAACTCATTTGAGCTTAAAACTTCTTAAAGCCTTAGGAAAATGAAAAATATATAACTCTCTCTTTAAAAGTTGAACAGTTTGTGACACATTAAAGCCACTTAATCATAAGGAATTCTACAATATTCTTAAAGGCAATCCTTTAGCTTTTAGATAAAAAGCAGCTGATAAAATTGGGTTCACGTCTTCCAGGATGACTTCCATCACAATTCTATTTTATGTTAAGACTATTATATGTAGATCTCTAATCTGGTGTTCTAAAATAACATAAAGCTTGGTTTCTCTTTTAACAAAACTAAGAAGAGTTCTCATGCCTTCTTTTTTCAAGGTAAATATATCCAATTCTATCTTATTCTAACAAAATTTTTCTTATCATTTTCTGGATGCACCCTGGTTCCTCCATGATTTTTAACTAAATGCCATTGCTGCCATGTTAAAACGAAGAACAATTAGTTCTACAAAGACTAGAAGTCCAATAAACCATGGGAGTATAAAATATATTGTCATAGTTGATGCTGTCAATAGTAACCATGATAAAGATCATAAAATAGTATCTAAAATGTACTAATCCTTTTATGTATGTCAGATGCTGTGCTACATGTTTCCTGAGGACTATCTCATTTGACTCTCACAGCTCTGTGAGATACCATTTCTCTGTTTTATAAATGAGAAATTTAGATCACTGAAAGGTTTATAAATGAACTCTTTCCACAATTATACTCAATAATAAGCCACTCCAAAACTCAGTGGTTTAAAACAATACTCATTCATTATCACACATCTACAGGTTGACTGGAGTTTGGCTGATCTAGGCTGGGCCCCAGTTGGGCATCTCTGCATCTTACTGAAAGATCGGTTCAGGCAATTCTGTACCATGTCCATGTCATTCTCCTGGGACCAAAGAGCTTGCTAGGGTATGTACTTCTCATGGCAATGACACAGGCATAAGAGAGAAAGCAAAAACATGGGGTCTCTTAAGGCCTTGGGTCTGATTTGGCAGCACATCATTACTTCACCACAACCCATTGGCCAAAGCAAGTCACATAGTTAAACTCAAAGTCAAGGAAGGAGTGGGGAAGTATACCCCACCAAAGTCCATGGCAAAGACCTGGACGCAGAGAGGCATGAAGGATTAGGGAGAGTAATTCAATGTAGCACAAAACGCTAAATAATACTTCCAAAGTCATACCCATTGTAGCAGTCAGGAATTCAGTTTGGCTGAATGTAGCAGAAAACCCAAACAACAGTGGCTTAATAAAATAGGGGTTTACAACAAAGTGAAAAATAAAATAAAATAAGGGTTTATCTTCTCTCATGGGAAGTCTGGAGATAGCCAGTCAAGAGCTGATAGGCCTGTTCCGTGACATTACAGGAACTCAAGTTCCTTTTTCATTTTTGTTTCACCATCCTTAAGATGTGACCCTCATGCTTATGTTCACAACAAGGCTGCTGGAGCTTCAGCCAGCATATTCTTATTTCAAGTAGAAGGAAAAGGAAAGACAAGAGACATATAATGGAAGCGCTTTCCCTGACACCTCATCCAGTGATTGTACTTACATCTCATTGGCCAGACCATGTCACAGGCCACTCTTGCTGAGAAAGACGTTGAGAGATTTTAAAAAAGAGAACAGTCATTCCCAACACAGGGTTAAATTAGTAATAAAAAGAGAAGAGGCTGGACGCAGTGGCTCACACCTGTAATCCCAGCAATTTGGGAGGCGAGGCGGGAGGATGGCCTAAGGTCAGCAGTTCGAGACCAGCCTGGCCATCACAGTGAAATCCCGTCTCTACTAAAAATACAAAAAATTAGCCGGGCATGGTGGCACACGCCTGTAATCCCAGCTACTCAGGAGGCTGAGGCAGGAGAATTGCTTGAACCTGGGAGGTGGAGGTTACAGTGAGCCAAGATAGTGCCATTGCACTCCAGCCTGGGCAACAGGAGCAAAACTCTGTCTCAAAAAAAAAAAAAAAAAAGAAAAAGAAGAAATGGACATTAAGTAAGAATTAACAGTATCAAACAAACATACCTAGGAAGTATTTGTTCCAGGATTTGCCCATTAGTTTAAAACTGTATTTAATGATGGTATTATTCTTACCATCTTAAAAAATATTTAATATTATAATTTATAATATATGCTATCTTAAAGTATAAAGAAGACAAACCAGCCATAAGCCATTACCAAGATATAACCACTGTTAAAATTTTGCTATCTCACCTTCCTTTGGTTGCTTTACCTTGTATACTTACAGTATATTTATATATCTACATTGGGCTCATTCTCTACAAATAGCCAGTCCCATCTCCCCAGTATTTTAAAATGTTGTTTTATAGATCATAAGACAATATATACTCACTATGGAAAAATCTAGAAAAAACAGAAAAATGTAAATAAAAATAATTTACCTATAACTCCATCCTTAAATCCAATTGCTTGCTGTGATTTTGATAAATTGACTTATACTTTTTGTGCATTATATGAATGTCAATATAAAGTCATATTATAGATAAATGTTGCATTTGGCTTTTAAAAAATATAAGACAAACACGAGATTTTTGTTAACATAATTTTAAATATCTCCTGATATTTTATCAACAGTCCTTAAATATGGTGCTTAGATTTCCAAGGTGGTGCTATTATAAATCTTGTTACTCTGAACATCTATTTTTACACAAGCTTCATCCACTTTCCAGGAACATTTTCTAGAAGGGGGAAATAAAATTGTATTATATTATGATGTCTATTCTTGAGTTTTTGTGTTAATTCATTTCCTAGTTACCTGGAAATTTCCTTAAGCAAAGTATATTCTGCATATTTGTTTGCAGTTTGAGAAAAAATACTGTTTAAAAGTAAACCTTGTGGTTTGATGCTCTGCTTCTACTGCGTATTTAATCCTGTTTCACACTTTCACGTCTGAAGGTGGGCCTAAAGACATTATCGTTAAGGGACAAAACCTCATTATTTTAACTCGGAAACCAATTATGTCTCTATCATGTGCTGCTTGAATGAGCAGTTTTCTCTTCCGGCATCTTGGAGCATTCCGTTACAGACTTCCTTTGAAGAACAGGACATGAACTAAAACCTCGATACTTTTTACTTTCGTTTTTTAAAACTAGATACTTTTACAAGAACTTTATTAGTCCAGGATACAGCCCTTCCGTTTTCCCAGCCTCTCCAGCTGGCTCCTCCCTCTTTCCCCCGCCCCACCCCCCGTTTTCAAAGCCGCCCCATTGTTCCCACGCTAACAAGTTAATATCTTTACCAGAACTTTTGTTTCACAAGCTTAACCACTGAGGTTAAGATTTCTGTGCCTGAAATTCCTTTGTTTTTAATGTTTTTCTAGATCATCTTTCGGGGGAAAGAAGACCCTCAAAGTAGTACCCCGCCCGCCCACATGGCCTCGCGCCCACATGGCCCCGCCCCCTCTGGTCCAGAGCGTTCCATCTCCATGGTTACGCGGCGTTTGCGGCGAGCGCCGGACTGCCCCAACAGCCGCGGTAGGACCCCAGGAGAGAAGCGTACGGACGCGGCTCTTGCGGTCGATTCCGGTCCAGGTCAGCCTACGCGGGAGTCCGCGCCCGTGACCCCGAGGCGTACCCGGCCAGGCGGCGAGCGTGGGGCGGCGGGCGGAGCTCGGACGTAGGGAGGACCCATCTTCCCTCGTCGAGACTGAGAGTTCAGTCTCGACCCTTCAGGCTGCGCAGCCTTTGGGTGTGGGCCTCGGTCCATTCCTGCAGGAGGCGCCCAGGGCCGTAGTCTGGCCTTCCAGCCACTGCGCGGGTACCTGAGGCCTCCCGCCTCTGTTACCCTTCATTGGCTGCCCCAGAAGTCCGACCTCCGGAGATTTAGTAATTAGAGGGTGGGCGTCGGGAAAGTGCTGAGCCGCGTCCCTAGCGACGGGCAGCGGCGCGCACGCGCAATCAGAGCCGGAGCTGGAAGGCCTCTCCCACAGACAGGCAGTCGCGCATGCGCGGTCTGAGATCCTGGCGTACTGGTTCTGATTTAACCGCTTCCCTTATGCCACGCACTGTTGTAACCACTAAGTACATAGGACTCATTTCGTTCTCACAACTCTGGAAAGAAGTGAAGCAAGTGCCCAAGGTCTCACAGCTAGACAATGGTCGGGTCACGATGGAATCCAGGCGATCTGGTTTCTCTGGACAAAATGCTTAATGCTTCCCAACCCATCCATCGGAAAAGCTCATAATGCTGAGGAGCTGGCTTTATCTACGTGGTATTGCCTTTGTTATAGGCTACATGCCAAATTCCGTTGTGCTTAGTTACTAATATTCAGGAAAATCAGAAAACTCGATCAAAATCACTTTTTCCTTATAGTAAATGGAATTAATAATCAGGAGTTCATTTTTTTCCATGAAGCGTAACTCTTACGTTTTGGTTTCTGCTTTTATGTTTATCAAGAGTCTGAATTCCATTTTAGATGTGCAGAAAAGATTATTTCAATGATCCGAGCAAGAACTGTTTTCCAAGATTCTAGTACAGTTACGAAGGGTCATTTAGTGAATGCGGTGGAATAAGCATTTACTCTTTGAAGCTGTACTCTGCTGCAGGGTTTGGGTTTCTCATTATTTCTACCTCCCTCCCCCACAAATACTGCTTAGTCTTTAAAAAAAAAATTTAAGACTATCATGATAGAAATATGTGTTCAGTGACTATCATTTAAAAATTGAAAATGGTAAGCATCAAATATTTCAATTATTTGGAATCCCAATCGTTGTCTGTCATCAATAAAGCCCTTCATTTTTAAAAATAAACTAATGAGAAACAGGACGCCTGATCTCCAAACTTTTTACACAGGGGGCCAGTTCACTGTCCCTCAGACCGTTGGAGGGCCGCTACATACTGTGCTCCTCTCACTGACCACCAATGAAAGAGGAGCCCTTCCTGAAGTGCGGCGGGGCCGGATAAATGGCCTCAGGGGGCTGCATGCGGCCCACGGGCCGTAGTTTGGGGACGCCTGGCCTAGATGCTAATAAAAATACTAATAAGCTAATAGATGATATTATGACTCTTTACAAATATGATAGTGGAGATATCTAAAGAGGAAAAAAATAACAAATTTGCATAAAACCACGTTTTAAAAAAACAATTATTGTGTTATTTAGCCAGAATGCCTCCAACTCAGGCCGAAAGTGTTATCAGGAGTATTATACGAGAAATAGGACAAGAATGCGCAGTCCATGGAGAGATGGTTTCTGAAACTCTGATTGCTTTTATGGTAAGAAGAAATATTTTTGTGATTACTTCTTTATTAAGAGCTTTTTAAAGTTGTGGTATCCACTTTCCCTTCTAAGTTCTGTGACGCTTTCACAGATATTTTTCAATTGAAACATAATGCGATGCATTGGGCAAGTTAGTGAAAACATTTTTTAAAAGTTTATAGAGCATGTCAGTTCTAGATTTTATAGAGACTGATTGAGAAGACCTTGATGAATTTTGGAAACATCAGTAATGTTTTCCTGTGTAGGAATTTTTTCAACATGTATTTTTGTTTGCTGTTGTTAAAAATTAGTCTGCTGTGGTTTCTCTGTTCTTGCTTTTGGTTAATTAACAATACAGAATAAAAGTAGAACAAAATGGCCAGGCACAGTGGCTCACGCCTGTAAATCCCACCACTTTGGGAGGCCGAGGGAGGCGAATCACGACCTCAGGAGTTCGAGACCAGCCTGGCCAACATAGTGAAACCCTGTCTCTACTAAAAATGCAAAAAAATTAGCCTGGTGTGGTGGTGGGCACCTGTTATCCTAGCTACTTGGGAGGCTGAGACAGGAGAGTTGCTTGAACCCAGGAGGTGGAGGTTGCAGTGAGCCAAGATCGTGCTGTTGCATTCCAGCTCGAGTGACAGTGTGAGATTCCATCTCAAAAAAAAAAAAAAAAAAAAAAAAGACCGGGCGTGGTGGCTCATACTTGTAACCCCAGCACTTTGGGAGGCCGAAGTGGGTGGATCATGAGGTCAGGAATTTGGAACCAGCCTGTCTAATATGTTGAAACCCTGTTTCTACTAAAAAAAATAATACAAAAATTAGCTAGATGTGATGGCACACACGTGTAGTCCCAGTTACTTGGAAGGCTGACGCAAGAGAATCACTTGAACTCGGGAGGCAGAGATTGCAGTGAGCCTAGATTAATCCACTGCACTTCAGCCTGGGCGATAGAGTGAGACTCTGTCTCAAAAAACAAACAAAACTATAAAAACAATAAAATATACCATAGTGTCCCAATTGAAAACCTATCAACTGCTTTCAACTTATTTCCCCATATAACTTTTCTAGCACCATATTAAAGTTTGATGTTTGTTGCTTCCTTTCTTCAACCTGTAACAAGGATGCTCATGAGTTCAGTAACAAGAAAAATAGTTGAAAACCAAACTCAGTATGATCAAGAGGTAGTTTAAAAAATGGAAACATATTAAACTAATTTTATAATAATATGAAGTAAAATTGCTTAATGGACTCTTTCCTACTCTCAGGTGAAAGCTGTTGTCCTGGATCCAAGTAATGGCTTTAACATGGATAGAACCCTCATGAAAAGTGATGTGCAGAATCTTGTTAAGGTGATTACCAAACGGTTCTCAAATTTGCAATTACTTATTCTCAGTTGTCATTATTGCCTTCAGCTGCACGAAACAAACGCCCACAAAACAGTAGTACACGACAGGCATTTTTCTCATAACACAAAGTCTAGAGAGACATAGGGCGCTCTTGCTGGCTTCCTGGGGCACACCATTCTTGCAGTATGGTCATCTGATGGTCAGAAGATAGCTACCCTACCTCCAGGCAGAAAGATACCGGAAAGGCAAAGGGCAAAATATGTGTGCCAATTGGGTCTATTGCCTTCTAACCAGAAAATAATGTTTTCCCAGAATCCTTCCCATCTGCTTACATTTATTGACCAGAATGATACTGTAAGTGACCCAGGAATGTTTACTTTTTTTTCTTTCTTAGATGAAGAAATCCTTGCCCCAGTTCAAATTGAGGCTCTGTTAGGAAGGAAGGGCGGGCAGGGAAATTGGGGAGGTAGCAGCATCTGCTATGGTATATTCGTGGCACCTTGTTATTAGTCTCTTATATTGCAAAGATTAAATGGTTTGTTATATACTGTAAAGTTAAATAGAAGTAAATTAATTTGCATTTCTCTAATTCCGAGTGATGTTGATCATTTTTTTAAATATGCTTGTTGGCCATTTGTATGTCTTCTTTTGAAAAATATCTATTCATGTCTTTTGCCCACTTTTTAATGGGGTCAGTTGTTGTTGCTGAGTTGTGTGAGTTCCTCGTAGATCCTGGATGTTAGTCCTTTGTCAGATTTATAGTTTGCACATATTTTCTCCCATTCTGCAGGTTGTCTTTTCACTCTGTTGATTATTCATTTTGATATGTAGAAGCTTTTTAGTTTATTTAAATCCAATTTGTCTATTTCTATTGCATTTGCTTTTAAGTCATGAATTCTTTGCCTAGGCCAGTGTCCAGCCCTAGGTTTTTTTTTGGTATTTTGTAGTTTCAGGTCTTACATTTAAGTTTTTTTTTTTTTTTTTTTTTTTTTTTTTTTTTTTTTGAGACGAAGTTTCACTCTTGTTATCCAGGCTGGAGTGCAATGGCGCGATCTCGGCTCACCACAACCTCCACCTCCTGGGTTCAGGCAATTCTCCTGCCTCAGCCTCCTGAGTAGCTGGGATCACAGGCACGCGCCACCATGCCCAGCTAATTTTTTGTATTTTTAGTAGAGACGGGGTTTCACCATGTTGACCAGGATGGTCTCGATCTCTTGACCTCGTGATCCACCCGCCTCGGCCTCCCAAAGTGCTGGGATTACAGGCTTGAGCCACTGTGCCCGGCCTACATTTAAGTTTTTAATCAATCTTCAGTTGTTAATATTTGTATATGGTGAGACAATGGGTTCCAGTTTCATTCTTCTGCAAATGGTAATGCAATTTTCCTGGCACCATTTTTCAAATAGGGTGCTATTTCTCCAGTGTATGTTTCTGTTGACTTTGTCAAAGATCATTTGACTTCAGGTATGTGGCTTTTTCTCTGATTTTCTATTCTGACAATGAGATACAATCATACACCAGTTAGCATGTCTGTTAAAAAGCCAAAACATGGAGCCAGGCATGGTGGCTCATGCCTGTAATCCCAGTGCTTTGGGAGGCCAAGGTGGGTGGATCACGAGGTCAGGAGTTTGAGACTAGCCTGACCAATATGGTGAAACCCCATCTTTACTAAAAATATAAAAAAATTACCTGGGCATGGTGATGTGAGCCTGTAATCCCAGCTACTCAGGAAACTGAGGCAGGAGAATTGCTTGAACCCCAGAGGTGAAAGTTGTAGTGAGCCGAGATCCAGCCACTGCCATCCAGCCTAGGCGACAGAGTGAGACTCCATCTCAAAAACAAAAAACAAACAAACAAAAAAGTCTAAACAAAGCAGGTATTGGTGAGGATGCAGAGAAAAGATTATATAAAGCTTGTTCTTAGCAATAGGGGAAGTGATTTTGACAGTCAAAAATTTTATTGGAAAGCCATGCAACAGAATCAAGGAGGGGCAGAAAATAAGTTTTTCTCTTTGTCATGACCCAAGAAGAATTTTCCATTCCCTCCAACCCCCACCTCAACTAAGTTGGAAAGAATCAAGTCAATATACTTTTAATATGACAGGCATATAAACTAACAACCTATGATATAATTCAAGTGACAGTTTTTTTTTTTTTTTCTCTACTAAGAATCGTGGATGAGCTAATTTTTTTTAAGCATGCTTTTTAGAACAGTACTTCTCTACACGGAGGGATCCAGGTGCACAGCCTTGTGCAAAGACACAGTGCCCCATCCTCGGTCTTGTATTCTCCCCTCTCTCCTCCCAGGAAAGCAGGGCTCGTGCTCCGGAGAAGGGTTGAGAGTAATGTTGCCAGGTGCCTGCCGGCTGCAGTGTATTCAGCCTACAGGGTGAGAAGTGAAGGAAGTGGGGGAGGGAGGTGACCAGTAGAGATGAGAGAAGGAAAGAAAAACTGAGGTTGATCATTCCATCTAGAGGCAAGGCAGAGAAGGGGAACGAGCCATCTATGTGGGGGCTCATGAAAGAAAACAGACCAGGAGAAGAAATATCAAGGGTAGAACCAGAGAAATTTTGTGAAGAGAGGCAGGTAGTTGCAGCAGCTTTCAACTTTTTATTTTTATTTATTTTATTTTTTGAGGTGAAGTCTCGATCTGTTCCCCAAGCTGGAGTGCAGTGGCGTGATCTTGGCTCATTCCAACCTCTGCCTCCCAGATTCTCAAGTGATTCTCCTGCCTCAGCCTCCTAAGTAGCTGGGACTACAGGCACGCACCACCACACCCAGCTAATTTTTGTATTTTTAGTAGAGACGGGGTTTCACCATGTTGATCAGGATGGTCTCAAACTCCTGACCTCAGGTGATCTGCTCACCTTAGCCTCCTGAAGTGCTGGGATTACAGGTGTTAGCCATTGCACTGGCTACGGCAGCTTTTTATAAAATAAAATAAGGGAGTGTTGTTCAAGGCACAAATAAATAGTAATGAGGAACTCTAGAAGAGTTCTAGACTGGAATATAAGCTTTGTGAAATATTTACCCACATTTAGACTGCTCAGACTAACCAAAACATCAGGTTTCTTGCCTTCAACTGGACTACTAGCCACCTGGGAATAGTGATTATTGGTTAACTTAAGGAAAATGACTTATTAACAAATGTTATTGGTAGCAGAAATATGGACTCAACCTAAGTGTCCATCAACAGATTATTGGATAAAGAAAATGTATGTATACATACACACAATGAAATTCTATTGAGCCATTGAGCCATAAAAAACAATGAAATCATGTTTTGCAGCAAAATGGATGGAACTGGAGGCTACTATCTTAAGTGAAATAGCTCAGAAACAGAAAGTAAAATACCACATGTTCTCACCTATAAGTGGAAGCTAAATAATATGTACGCAGGGACATAGAGAGTGGAACGATAAACATTGTTCCACTTGGGAGACTTGGGAGGGTGAGAAGGAGTGAGGGGTGAGCAATTACTTAATAGATACAATGTACACTATTCAAGTGTTAGCTACACTAAAAGCCCAGGCTTCACCACTACTCGCAATATATCCATGTAACAAAATGATACTTGTACCCCCTAAATCTATAAAAATAAAAAAAAGTTGGCCTGGCGCTGTGGCTTATGCCTGTAATCCCAGCACTTTGGGTGGGCAGATCATGAGGTCAGGAGTGAAACCCTGTCTCTACTGAAAAAAAAAAAAAAAAAAAAAAAAAAATTAGCCGGATGTGGTGGCATGTGTCTGTAGTCCCAGTTACTTGGGAGGCAAAGGCAGGAGAATCACTTGAACTTGGAGGCAGAAGTTGCAGTGAGCCAAGCAAGCCACTGCATTCCAGCCTGGGCGACAGAGCGAGACTCCATCTCAAAAAAAAATTTTGGTTAAATAAACCATAAAGCCTGAAGTCCTCTAGGAGGAAAAAAAAAATAATAGAAGGGGTTATTGGTGAATAAATATCAGAAAGTACTGCTTTTCCTTTTATTTTTAAAAGTAACTTTAGGAAATACTTGAATGTCTCAGAAACTATAACTAAAAGCATTAATGGGCTATTCTTTTCTAGCTTTGTATGGCTCGGCTATTGGATACTAAAAATCCATCCCTGGACACTATTAAGATGCAAGTCTACTTTGATATGAATTATACAAATCGAGGTAACATATACTACCTATTTTTATACTTAGAACAATTTCATATTATATTTCAGCTAAGAAGGGTTGACAGTGAATTTAATTGTTTAATCAATTTAACAATTTAATTTTTGGCAGTCTTTTGAAATGTTTTTCAACTTTGAAGAATATAACAATCTTAGAAATGCTACGTGAAAAAAACATCACTGGCCTTTGTGAGTGTTAAAAGTCAATTCAAATTATTATGCTCATAATTATTGTTTCCAAGTCTTTTGTCTTTTAACCTTTATGGCACTAATGCATAATAGAAATTCAAACAACCAGCCCACTGAAGGTAAAAGTCTTTAATTTGTAGATTTTCTTGTTCCTGGTTTATATTATTATCTCATAATAATTACCTAAATTATATAACTATCCAAAAATGAAATGAGTGATGGGAAATTTAAGCATAGAAAGCTTTTCAGTATATAAATTTTTTTTCTTTTGAGACAGTCTTGTTCTGTCTCCCAGGCTGTAGTGCAGTAGCGCGATCATAGTGCAACCTCTGCTTCACGGGTTTAAGCAATTCTCCCACCTCAGCCTCCTGAGTAGCTGTGACTATAGGCTTATGCCACCATACTCAGCTAATTTTTGTATTCTTAGTAGAGACGGGGTTTCGCCATGTTACCCAGCCTGGTCTCAAACTCCTGGCCTCAAGCAATGTATCCACCTTGGACTCCCAAAGTGCTGGGATTTCAAGTGTGAGCCAGCATGCCGGGCTCATTATGTAAATAATTTAATGCATACATCAAAGACAACTTGGAAACAAAAGGAAAAGGGAAATATAATTCTCTATGGACTGCCTCTGTTCCTGCTATATAAAACAAATATATTTCTCTATGGAATACCTCTCTCTCTGCTATATAGTACAATCATTATTATCATTATTAACAATTTAGTGATTTTCTATGTATTAGTTTCAGTTGTGCTACCTATGTAAAAATATGTATCTTGTGTTTTTGCTTAATAGTGAAATTTTAAAGCAATAAAATAGTTTTAGAATTGGTAAAATTTAACCTATATATATATACATACATACATATATATATACATACATACGTATATATACATACATACATATATATACATACATATATATACATACATACATATATACATACATATATATATACATACATACATATATATATATATATATATATTTTTTTTTTTTTTTTTGAGACAGAGTTTCGCTCTTGTTACTCAGGCTGGAGTGCAATGGCACTGTCTTGGCTCACCGCAACCTCCGCCTCCTGGGTTCAAGCAGTTCCCCTGCCTCAGCCTCCCGAGTGGCTGGGACTACAAGCGCGTGCCACCATGCCCAGCTAATTTTTGTATTTTAGTAATGACGGGGTTTCACCATGTTGACCAGGATGGTCTTGATCTCGTGACCTTGTGATCCACCCACCTCAGCCTCCCAAAGTGCTGGGATTATAGGCATGAGCCACCGTGTCCAGCCTATATTTTTAATTATATACATATATATATACACACATGTTTTTTTAAATTTGCAAAAAGTTCTCAGTTGCTTTTGTGGCAAGAATATAGATATAAACTATGCATGGTGGATATGTTAATTATTGCCATTGTAATAGTAATATGGGTTGTCTTATTGAGTCATTGAAAGAAACATCCTTGCAATGACTCAGTGAACATGGTGTCCTGCCAGCGTTGAGACTATACCTCAGCATATCACAGGAGAAATAAGGAGGGATACAGCTCTTGATGCAGCACTATATTATCAATAATGCTTTTCAGAGGAAATTTAACTAGAAGTGAAATAAAAATACACATAACTGAAAGGAATATATATATATATATATGTATACACTACATATGTATTTCTGTTACTGTATAAGCTTATGTATAGTATACTACATGTGCTTACATATAGCATAAATATATAGTATGTATATATTTATATTTTTCGTATAGTATTAAAGATATATATGTTGTAAAAATGATCTTCTTTCTGTTTAATTGGGCGGTTTTAGCCTTTTCTGATATTTACTGGTTAGTTTGGCTATTTAAAGTCTTACGTATTTTGACCAAGTATTCCATTTAAGTCACTGTAATAAATCTTTTTTTTTTGGAGACGGAGTCTTGCTCTGTTGCCCAGGCTGGAGTGCAATGATGCATTGTCAGCTCACCGCAACCTCTGCCTCCCGGGTTCAAGCAATTGTCCTGCCTCAGCCTCCCAAGTAGCTGGGATTACAGGTGTGCACCACCATACCCGGCTAATTTTTTTATTTTTAAGTAGAGACGGGATTTCACCATGTTGGTCAGGCTGGTCTCAAACCCCTGACCTCGTGATCTGCCCGCCTCAGCCTCTCAAAGAGCTGGGATTACAGGCATGAGCCACCACACCCAGCTGTAATCAATCTTTTCTACTGGATTTTTGTCTTGAGGTTACTTGCTGGCCATTGTTTTTTATTTCATATTACGTCTTAAGAAATTACTTGTTTTCATGAAGTAGAATTGCCATATCCAAGCCAGTTTTTTTCTAGTTCTTATGTGAGAAGAATTCTAAATATCAAATATATAGAACTTTGTTATTTGCCAATTTTAGTGGAATTTCTTGAAGAACATCACCGAGTCCTAGACTTGAGATTAGGCTCTGTTACCAGTGAAATTACAGATAACAGAGCATGTAGTAGAGAAGAATTGGAAAGCCTCTACCGGAAGATTATCAGCTATGTGTTACTCCGCTCTGGCCTTGGATCCCCTACAGACATCAAGACTGTCAGAGAGGTAACAGGTAAAAAGTATAACCAATTCCCATTTCATAAGTAAAAGTATATGATCATTGTATTTTATAAAATACATTAAATTAGAAGTGTTAAAGACTGAAGTTCTCTTTTTATCTGAAAAAGAAAAATCAGCACAAATGAGTTAAAATGTGCCCAGTCTCCTTTTACACTGTGTATCAGTCCTAAAACTCAAGTAGCACCTCTAGAAAGTGAAATATTGCTGATTTCTTAGAGCTGCACATATGTAGGGGCCTATTACACTTCATTAGAGAAATATTGATAGTAGGATTGAGGGTACCAGACTGATTGAGTTAATGGAAAAACTGGAAAGGGATATTTCATATTGATAACAGAAATTGAGTCTGTCATTTAAAGTGGATGATGGAAAGGGGTAGTGTTTAATCCTTAGGAAATTTTGCCCACTTTCGTACTTTAAAATGAGGAATAGAAAAAATGGCTAACTCTCCTATGGCTCTCTTTGACAGTTATTTTAAAGTATCCATTTTTCGGCTCAAATCTTTAATTAGAAAGGTTGTTTTCATGCCTATTGCCAAAAAGTTACTGATGGCTGTTCAATTATTAAAAATGGACATGAGGCAATGACATAACTCTCAGTAGTCCAGCTTTGATGTGTGATCAATTTTGTTATGTATTGTATAATCAGGTGTCAGAAATCTGAAGAATTACATAAGCAACTCACACCCTTGACGTTCTGCTGAAACAAAGAAAACTTGTTATTTAACTTCTGATATCTTTATTCTGTCACTTCGTTTTCCCTTTTTTTCTGGTTTATTTTAGCTGCTCTCCAGAGTGTTTTTCCTCAGTCTGAGCTTGGGACATTTCTAACTCTTTCTAAGAAGGACAAAGAACGCCAACTGAAAGAACTCACCATGATTGTTACTGGAATTCGTTTATTTAACAGAGACTGTGGAAAAGGAGGAGAAGGCATTGATGATTGTAGGTATATCATTAGGTTAATTCTAAAGGTTATGTATGTTTAAAATTTAAAATGCACAGTGAGGAAAATAATAAACAACACACCACTGGCATTCTTAAATGTAAGATTTGCATTTTTTACTATTTCCTTAAGTTACTATTGTTTATAATGTGTAGTGATTTTTACTTTTGCTGGGGCAAGACTTTAAATTTTATGTACCATAAAGCTAGTATGAGACAGTGAATCCAGGAAAGCAATGAAGGGTCCTGCTCAAAGCTAACCTCCCCAGTTCAGCAGGGCTTTGTGTTCTTTACTGCAAGTCAGTAGCCAAAAGGGAGTAAAATTTAGTTGTTTAAAAAATAAAAGTCTTCCTGAAAACAGTTCCTGCTGCAGTTAATGGAATAAAAAGATCTACGAGGAGATATTTCAAATTTCTAAATTCAGGTACATCTTCTTTGTTGTTATATACTTAATGCATTATTTATCTATAAGTTTGAAAGTATCATGAAATATTTAATGAAGTACCTATCAGAAGAATTAACTTCCTTATGAATTTGGTACCCCTATAGGCCCACTGATAAGGTGTTAGTGTCCTTCGCCAGATCACTAATCTAGTATAAAAGGGAAATTTTTTCTATTTTAAAAACTATTCTAAAAAATCAAATTTTTATTTTTATAAATGACCTTCCCTTGCTAGACTATTTTGTCATTTCTCACCATCCAGATGAGTTTATTAACAAACATTCGTTTTTTGTTGGTTTTTTTTTTCAATAACTAGAAAAGATGGTATATAGAAGGAGGAGCCAGTGGCTTTTCTGGAAGGACATGATTAACAACACGTAATTCCAAATTCTGCCTATTTTCTAAACTCTTCTATATTTAGCGGCAAAGCTGACCTGCTACAACTGGGTTATCATTCTGCTAATATCTTTTGTTTGAACTTGTTTGTTTTAGATTCTTTTCTTTATGTTGTGGGACCCATGAAACACATGCCTCATTATTATTAATTTGATTGGGGGAAAAAACCCCAACTGAATGCTTAAAATGTGACTACTTCCTAGACCTTTTCTCCTTAATCATTTTTAGTCTGCTTTATGACTTTTTTATACTGTTACAAACAGTGCCAGGTGTTCTCCATGAAGCAATCCCAGCCACCCTGCAGCATATTGATGATGAGCTTGAGAAGACCCAGCGCCAGGCATATTGCTACACAGCCGTCCTTGAGAAGGCAGCCGACAACCCACTCATGAAGGCTGAACTTCAGCCATATATGTTAAAAGAGGCACTATATAATATACGACAATGTGAGGTCTTCCTTCAGATCATTTTGGTGAGTTAAGTTCATAAGGTATGACCTTTTTCATATAATGTAATCTCTTTATATTTTATAAGGCCACATCAGGTAGAATCAGGTTAACTGCTCAGTTTATATTGCTTTGGTAGGGTTAGGAATCAAAATAGAAATAGAAATGTTGGGTTTAGATTTTAATGAAAATATTTTGGTAGAAATTGATTTTATATTTTTTCATTATCTTTGGTACTTGATAATAGGATTGATAGCATGCTGTAGTTAAATAGTGTATATGTGTGAGTAATACTATATTTTAATTCAGAGCAAGTATCTAACATTGTTTGGCAGGTAGTTGCCTTTCAAATAATTTTTATGTAATTATTTGTTCTCACTGTAACAACTGGTAGAAAAGAATTTTTTTTTTTTCGAGATGGCGTCTCACTATGTATCCCAGGCTAAAGTGATCTCAGCTCACTGCACCCTCTGCCTACCAGGTTCAAGCAATTCTGTGCCTCAACCTCCCGAGTAGCTGGGATTACAGGCACCTGCCACTATGCCCGGCTAATTTTTGTATTTTTAGTAGACACAGTGTTTCACCATCTTGGCCAGGCTGTCTTGAACTCCTGACCTCATGATCCACCTGCTTCGGCCTCCCAAAGTGCTGGGATTACAGGTGTGAGCCACTGTGCCTGGCCAAAAAGATTTTTTTTAAAGGTTTTTCGTATGCCAGGCACAGTGACTCAAAATAATGTCAATCGTATTACTTTGGGAGGCAGGAGTTTGAAACCAGTCTGGCCAGCATGGCAAAACCCCATCTCTACAAAAAATACGAAAATTAACTGGGCACAGTAACGTGCCTTTATTGCCAGCTACTTGAGAGGCTGAGGATTGCTTGAGCTGGGGAGGCAGAGGTTGCAGTGAGCCAAGATCACATCAGTGCACTTGGCATGAGTGACAGAAGGAGACCCTGACTCAAAAAAAAAAAAAAAAAGGTGTTTTTGTTTTTTTAATGTAGATGGGGTCTTGCTATGTTGTCCAGGCTGGTCTTGAACATCTGACCTCAAGCAGTCCCCCTGCCTCAGCTTCCCAAGGTGCATAGCAGGCATAAGCTACCACACCTAGCCAGAAAAAATTTTTATATCTAGTGTTTTTAGATCTAATGAACAAGCCAAACAGTATCCCCAGAGAGTTGGAAAATATGGTAAAGTGGTGGTTATAACCTTTTAAAAAAGTAACAGTGCCCTTTCTCTCAGAAACTTACTCAGAATTTTACAAATATAAAACAGATATCTACATAAAGGAATTAGAGGACCTTTTCACTAAGGGATATCCCCATGACACTCTAGGGTAGCAAGGAACACAGTCTGTTAATTACTGCATGACAGCAAGTTATGTTCTCACTTGTCACTGTTTACTTTTACACAGTCTCTGTTTTCCAGCAACTATAAGACTCTCGATTAGTGGAACTGTCTTTTATATGAGTGAATGCTAATTTCTTGAGGGATAGAATAGGATGTACTCTGACCACCTCTTCTTTTTAACTTGTATTTTAATGACTTGGTACTACTATTGGATGCACTTCGTCTGTCCTCTCTCCTTATGTAACTGTCCTGATGACATGACTTCATTGCAACAAACTAGGGGTTGTCCTCACAACTAGCCTATCTAATTGCCTTCAGAAGGAAGGATCCTAGCTGGAAGGCTGAGATTGGAGAACTGCTTGAGGCCAAGAATTCAAGACCAGCCTGGGCAACATTCCAAGACCCTGTTTCTACTAAAAATAACATTTTCAAGTATGGTAGTACTAACCTATAATCCCAGCTACTTGGGAGGCTGAGGTGAGAGAACTGCTTGAGCCTAGGAATTTGAGGATGCATAAGCTATGGTTATGCCACTGCACTCCAGCTTGGGTAGCCAAGCAAGACCCCATCTCTAAGAATACATAAATGAATTAATAATAAAAACCACATCACTCTCTTGGGGTGGATACATCCCCTTACATTACCTTGTGGCTATCAGCCTTATGTAACTAGTCAGCTACTGAGAGGATTTTGTAGTCAATTTATTTTGAAGTGCATATGAGGCCACAGGAGTAGAACTTCACATTGACATTTGTCACCTGCTGTCACCTGCATTCAGAGTCGATATTATAAGAAAGAACCTTGGGAAACTGTCATACATACTGTACGGATGTTGCAGAAGATGTCATTCGTTATACAGAATCTTCTCATAGCTTTCAATCATGAATCATAATCAACCAAGTCTTAAATTCTCATTGGTGGTCTACTTCTCACAGCTGGAGAGGGGCAGTGAGTAAAGTGTAGAAGTGATGAGTGTGGGCTTTGCAACCAGACTACATGAATTCTAATCATGACTTTGCCACGTACTAAATCTGTGTCCCTAAGGAGGTTGCTTAACTTCCCTGTGCCTTGGTTTCTATATCTGTAAAATGGGTTATTCAGTCTTCACTATGAAAAATAAGTCTTCACTTCACTTCAGCATAGTGCCTAGTGCAACAGCTCAGTAAAGTGATAATGATATTGTTTATGATTATTGTCATCATCATTGCTAGGGTCTTAGCAGAACAGCTGTTATTTCATTTGTCTAGTGAAACAAGCTGAAGAGCTTTTATTTTTCCATATAGTATCTCATTTCCAAGCTCCTTGCTGCTCATGTTGTTAAGAAAGTTAATTTTCTTATCTAAGCACTCTTTATGGCCATTTTGTACTGACTTTAGTCAGGATCAGGATGAGTTTTCTTAAGTTTCTGATTCTTTTCCGCTCAAAGAGACTTTTTTGTTTTGTTTTGTTTTGTTTTTAAACTATTCAATCCTTCCCCATCAATCTGTCTTAGTGACAATTAAGGTCGATTATTATGAAATGGATATTGGTTTAATCAGTATTATCTCTGGATTATAAACTATATCAATTTAAATTTTGGCAAGATTTTTCCTATGTTAAAATCTATGAATATTCTTTTTAAAGTCACATTATTTGAACAGGTACTACTTCAAAATTTTAAAGTAGCAATTTTGATTTTTAAAAATTCTCTCTTGCCAAAGTTTCAGTCAGTTTATGTAAACATTTAAAAAATCAAATATAGGCCGAGCACAGTGGCTCATGCCTGTAATCCCAGCACTTTGGGAGGCCGCAGCAGGCAGATGACCTGATGTCAGGAGTTTGAGACCAGCCTGGCCAACATGGTGAAATTCTATCTCTACTAAAAATACAAAAATTAGCCGGGCATACAAAAGTACAAAAATTAGCAGGCACCTGTAATCTGAGCTACTTGGGAGGCTGAGGCAGGAGAATCACTTGAACCCAGGAGGCAGAGGTTGCAGTGAGCTGAGATCACGCCACTGCACTCCAGCTTGAGCAGCAGAGTGAGACTGTGTCTCAAAAAAAAAAAAAAAGCAATATATAGCCTGGGTAAGATAGTGAATTATCCAACTAATAGCCTGGGTAAGATAGTGAATTATTTTGTTTTGATCAGGACTTTATCTGCTGCAGTGAACACATTGAAATATTTAGAAAAGGGAGCAATGATCAGAGTCCTGTTGACTATCTTAACTGAGAGAATAAAATTCCATCCTCCATGGACTTTTAAAGTGCCAGGCAGATACCAAAGAGAGAAAGCGGCATGTTATTGTGCAAGTAAGAGTTGCATTTGATAGAACATTTGTTAAAACCTGTAAGTCAAGATTTTTGTAGAGTTCTTCCCCCTAGACTATATTGGTAGGGCCCATTCACAAACAGGCAATACAGGGCTTTCTTGATTTTTCCTGATGAGGCAAATAAAAACATCAGTTAGGTGGAATTTGTGCTTGTTTTATTATATTTTATTTCTGTTGTAGTAAGAACATTAAAAATGAGAGATTCCATTCTAATTTCTGCTTCTATAAATTTGACTAGACTTGTTGAAAATTGTACATGGAAGAAAGTATGAAGAACTTATAAAAAGTATTTAAAAGATAGCGGGAAGGGGAAGAAGACAAAGAAACATGCTGGAATCACAAGCTTTTGCCAACCATTTGAATATTACAGTAAAAGTTTTTTTAAGTGATGGCATATTTAGAGGACTAATATTATAACTAAAAACTCTAAATGGGCCCAGCTGGTGGCTCATACCTGTAATCCCAGCACTTTTCGAGGCCAAGGTGGGCGGATCACCTGAGGTCAGGAGTTCAAGACCAGCCTGGCTAACATGGGGAAACCCATTTCTACCAAAACTACGAAAAATTAGCCACGTGTGGTGGTGCGTGCCTGTAATCCCAGCTACTCAGGACACTGAGGCAGGAGAATCGCTTGAACCCAGGAGGCAGAGGTTGCAATGAACAGAGATCATGCCGTTGCACTCTAGCTTGGGCAACAAGAGTGAAACTCCATCTCAAAAAAAAAAAAAAACACAAACAACAAACAAAAAACAACTCTAGATGATTGTGAGTAAATTCTTTTTAGTAAATAGAGTAATTTCTAGGACGTTATTAGAAAAAAAAGCAAGAAGTTCTGTGCGCCTATTGTGAATGGATCCTGCAAACACAGCTTGGGGAAGGGGTCTAGAGTATTTTTTTTTTCTTTTTGAGACAGGGTCTCACTCTGTCACCCAGGCTGGAGTGCAGTGGCACAACCTTGGTTTACATCTGCCTCAGGGTTCAAGTGATTCTTCTGCTTCATCCTCCCAAGTAGCCGGGACTACAGACATGTGCCACCATGCACGGCTAATTTCTTTGTATTTTTAGTAGAGATGGGGTTTCACCATGTTGGCCAGTCTGATCTTGAACTCCTGCCCTCAGGTGATCCGCCTTGGCCTCCCAAAGCGCTGGGATTACAGGTGTGAGCCACCGCCCAGCCAGAGTATTTTTAATTGTAGATTTTAATAAGTTTGCATGTCAAATGCAACATATACTTTGGAGAACATATGCAAACATATTCGTTTCTCGTTGCTGTTGCACAAATCTTTAAAGACTTTAGAGACTGAATTTTCATATTTCCTAAAACAAAACTTAAAACATGCAAGGGGAAAAAACTCTGTGAGGGTAGACAAGAGGTCTATTAGATATAATAGATAATAGTGTATGGAAGAATTAGGCAGGAGGAGGAGAAATGCTTAAACAGCAGTATGGTAAAATTAAAGCATGTTACATTTATGAATAAACATTTGTTTTAATACAGTGATAATAGTTGATATTACTCATGAAGTAATTATTTTTGTCATTTAAAATAGTCTTTCTAGCATATAATTAGGCTACATACAGATCTGAGAATTCAAATGCACTTTATTCTCCTGAAATAGGTGTCATTCTTTTATGCTATACTGATAAAAACATACCACAACCGTTTCTGGTTACATCTTGGGCAACACAGTATAATGCTTAAGAGCTGGGCTGTGGGCTCAGATGGTTTGGAGTCTACCATGATGCTATCCCTTATTAGCTGTCTTATTAGTAAGATAATTTACTTACCTTTGTATTCTTTGGTTTTCTTATTTGTATTTATCCCTTTTTGTATTTTTAAGTGTTCAACGTGGTGCTTCGCACAGAGTAAGAATAAATATAATTATTTCAAATTCAGTGTTTAGCAACTGTTTTCAGACCATCATTGTGGTATCAAACATACTGTTTTCCTTTAAATGTTGTGATTTTTAAGATTTTCTGTCTTCTTGAATGTGATTCTTTTCTGTTTAATTTTTCATACTTTATTCTTTGTATCAATAGATTAAGAAAGTAAAAGTTTCCCAAGTGTTGATTTATAATGTTTGTGTCACACGAAAAGTTCAGTTTCCCAAAGAGTAGCAAAAATTCAGTGATCTATTTAAGTACAATTTTAATCCTTATTTTGAAGCTACGGGCTTTACAATAAGCTAAATACATGCAAACCTGTATATCCTGAACTACAAAAGCAGTTTCCATAGCCATTTATGTTTTAGTCAAGTACACATTTCTACAATGAACAAGTTCTTACAAACATAAATAAAAACCATCCCAAATGCTTATCCCGTCATCATTTTTTAAAACTATTCTTGCTACTGAAAGCATTTATTCTGAGAAGATTTAATGTGAGATGGGAAAATGAGTTCTCCTGAGACTTAACAGGCTTTTTTTTTTTTTTCTTTTGAGACGGAGTCTCGCATTGTCGACCAGGCTGGAGTGCAATGGCACAATCTCAGCTCACTGAAACCTCTGCCTCCAGGGTTCAAGCAGTTCTCCTGCCTCAGCTTCCTGAGTAGCTGGGATTACAGGCCATGTCCAGCTAATATTTTGTATTTTTAGTAGGGAAGGGGTTTCACTGTGTTGGTGAGGTTGGTCTCCAATTCCTGACCTCATAATCCGCCCACCTCAGCCTCCCAAAGTGGTGGTATTTGCAGGTGTGAGCCACCATGCCCAGCCCCAGTAGATGGTTTTAAATAAAAAGTGCCTGAACAGAGAAGCATTCACATGAAACTTTTATTTTCTTGAAAAAAAAAGTCACTCTCGTTATACAAAGAAAAGAATATTAAGACAAATTTTCTTTTAATACAGATAAAAATTCTTACAAAGAACTGTATTTTTCTATATCATCTCCTTAGAAGGATCACAAACCAGTTCACTACCTTTATTAACCTTTCAGTTTACTGTTGTCTAAAAACTTTAGGGTATATGAAGCATGTCTTAGTTATAAAGTCAAAGATGTCATTTAGATCTTGCGTAATAAATACCTACAGTATAGCTTGCAATGGCACAGATACAGTTAACACATAAATATTACTTCACCCTTTAGATAGTCAAAAGTCAGAAAGCAATAAATGGTTTACAAGATGCTTTAACTTTTTTTTTTTTTTTTGAGGAGTCTTGCTGTCCTGCCAGGCTGGAGTGCAGTGGTGCGATCTTGGCTCGCTGCAGCCTCCAAGTCCCAGGTTCAAGTGATTCTCCTGCCTCAGCCTCCTGAGTACCTAGGACTACAGATGCAAGCCACTATGCCCAGCTAATTTTTGTATTTTTAGTAGAGACTGGGTTTCACCATGTTGGCCAGATGGTCTTGATCCCTTGACCTCTTGATCCACCAGCCTCGGCTTCCCAAAATGCTGGGATTACAGGCGTGAGCCATTGAACCTGGCTGATACTTTAACTTATTATGTGTGATCATTGAAACCCAACAAGTAGTTCAAGTATGCTTACATAAATGCAGTCAAATAAAGGCCTAAAGATCACCCTAAAATTGAAGGCATGAAAACAAAGCTGAAAACTTTGTGTTTCTTCATCTTTCATTTACATGGCTAGATATCTATCAGGACCTTACTATAGAAAATATACAGTTAATATATGTACTTTCTCCAGAAGATAATGAAGTTTCAGAAAGTACAGAAGGTATCAAGATCCATAGTTTGCTTCATCAAATGCTTTTCTAGTTCATTTCAGTTCTGCATTCATAGTAAGCAAGTCTTTAACCCTAGCAAATTCCTTTGATCCTTTCAAATCAAGAAAACAATATTATACTATCTTGTGAGTCATTTCAGTGATGAACTTTATATGACAGGGTCTTCAAAAATATCCCCTGATTCAGTACAGGGATTCTGGTCATCCCCTAAACCATGTATCATATCATACATCACAAAGTGAGATCTCACTAGCCTGCCGACCTGCAGTGCCCTGCTGGCTCACTCCTAACAGGTTTTTCTCAATGTGATTTTATTAAATCTTGTTATCAACATAGTTTTCAGAGGAATGCCTAATTAATTTTATCATTGAGGAATAGGAAAATAACAGCTATATAAAAATGGATTCTTGAGGATTCATTTCTCAAGAACACAATTATATTTAAATCTAAGAATACCTGTATACATTTTTAAAAAGTATATCCATTGTATTTCAAAAGATTCATCCATCTCACAAATATCTTGTAAGCACCATACATATGCTGGTACTGTTCTAGGGGCTAAGGATACCGGGGAGAACAGACTTCCGGCTGTCATTGAGCATCCCTTCAGAGGATGTAGGAAGCAGGCATGGTCTGAAATACATATGATTTTTATAGTAGAATTATAAAGATATTAATGCAAATTATGTTGTTTTCACAGTCAGACATAATTACTGGTGCTCAAGAAGTGGAAATGATGACAAAACAGTTAGGAGCCCATCTGGAACAACTAAAAATGACTGTAAAATCAAAGACAGCCGTCCCAACATCACAAGTCTTTGTAAGTGTTTGTCATAAACTTTTACCTTAAGGGTAAATTTCCTGTTGAGCCCTATAATATTGGATTGCAAGTCATTATAATTATATTTAATTTCTAAAAATATAATGTTTTATATAAGTTGATCCTGTTCTTTATGGTTATTTTCTTACTACAAAATAGTGTGCTTTAAGTTGGATGAGAGAATTCCCCTACATAAGCAACTGCTACTAAAGGAACTGCAGCTGTATAGTATGATAACCATATCTGTATTGGCTGTGACAACAGAAATAATCATAGTACTAGGTTGAAAATGTATTCATAGGAGCAGGTCAGAAGTTGGCTCCAGTACAAGAGATGATATAACTTGTGACCTTCCTGAAAAGACAGATAATAATCATTTTGTTCACCAGGCCTGCACTTATATTGACTTTGTCATTATCTGCACCATTTTATGGACAAACCTGGCAAACCTTAACTGGAAAAGGAGGTATAAAATGTACATGCAGTATTATTATTATTATTTATTATTTATTTTTTTTTGAGATGGAGTTTCACTCTTGTTACCCAGGCTGGAGTGCAATGGCGCGATTTCGGCTCACCGAAACCTCCGCCTCCTGGGTTGAGGCAATTCTCCTGCCTCAGCCTCCTGAGTAGCTAGGATTACAGGCACGTGCCACCATACCCAGCTGATTTTTTGTATTTTTAGTAGAGACGGGGTTTCACCATGTTGACCAGGATGGTCTCTATCTCTTGACCTCGTGATCCACCCGCCTCGGACTCCCAAAGTGCTGTGATTACAGACGTGAGCCACCGCGCCCGGCCACATGCAGTATTATTACAGAGGATATGAGGCTGTGATAACTCTCTGCAGTCATGCACAGTATTTAGTTTACCAAGAAACAAAAGGCCAAATTGTTTGGCTTACATGTGGGGCCTTGTTGATTTTTCATGTGTTCTGTAAGTCAATGACCTTTAATATGAATAAGAAACATATCTCAGTGGCCTAAAATCTTTAACTTGCAGCTCACAAAACATGCCATAAGATATATCTCTGTACTTTCCAGGTTCTTTTGAGCGATGATTGGGCCAGATAAATCTAATTACAATGAGTCATATTTAGCTTTTTAATTTTACTTTCTTAATATTGTTATATTTTATTAGATGATCAGTCAGGAAAACAAACACAAAAATGGTCTTCAGGCCGGGCATGGTGGCTCACGCCTGTAATCCAAGCACTTTGGAGGCCAAGGTGGATGGATCACCTGAGGTCGCGAGTTCAAGACCACTTTTCTATGTTGACATCTTATCCACTTTTCTGTGTTGCCATCTTGTTCCACTCCTCTTGTTTTTTTCTTTTCTTTTTTTTTTTTTTTGATGTAGTTTTGTTCTTGTTGGCCAGGCTGGAGTGCAATGGCACGATCTCAGCTCCCTGCAACCTCCATCTCCCAGCTTCAAGCAGTTCTCCTGCCTCAGCCTCCCAAGTAGCTGGGATTACAGACACATGCCACCATGCCTGAGTGATTTTGTATTTTTAGTAGAGGCAGAGTTTTGCCATGTTGGCCAGGCTAGTCTTGAACTCCTAACCTCAGGTGATCTGCCCACCTCAGCCTCCCAAAGTGCTGGGATTACAGGCGTGAGCCACTGCCTCGGGTCCTATTTTTTTTTTTAAGAGATTTTTCCCTTGGTGTTTTGAGATGAAGAGTCCATAATCTTTCTTAGGTGATCACATGTATTTGGCTTTTTAAAGAAAATTAACTTTATAATAATCATACCAAAATAAAATGCCTTGAAATAAAATGCAAGTTTATTTTCTCATAATTTATTTCTCATAATGCAAGTTTATTTTCCAGGTATATCATAATTTATGAGTTAAATTTCTATCTAAAATCTATTATCTAAATTCATATGACTTTCACTTAGGGAGAATTAACTAACTTCTTTACAAATAACAACTGTATTTATCTTAAAGAAGACAGTGGTTTATAATTTTATTACACAGTTACATTTTGAACATTTTTTTTCCTCTTTCTTAGCCTGTCTTCATTGCACTTTCCACTCTGTGGACCAGCTTCCAAGATGAAACTGTTATAGTTGGTGTCCTCAGTAATTTATTCACTCACCTTCAGCCATTCCTGGATGCTCACGAACTATTCTTTCCTGAGAGAGTAATACAACATTATCTCAGTGGAGTTACTGTGAAAACTGATACGTGTAGAATGAAAGAACACATGGGTAATGAAAATCATCCATTATTTCCTGTTCTTTTTAAAATTGCCTCTAGAACAAAGTCACTCTTTTGTTCTAAAATTTTTATGTTATATTTTTCTGGTAAAGCATTAAACATTTCTCTTGATTGTAAAGTACTAATGAGGGGTCAGTGCAGTGGCTCATGTGTATAATCCCAGCACTTTGGGAGGCCGAGGCGGGTGGATCACCTGAGGCCAGAAGTTTGAGGCCAACCTGGCCAACATGGCAAAACTCCATCTTTACTAAAAATACTAATATTAGTCGGGCATGGTGGTGTGCTCCTGTAATCCTAGCTACTCAGGAGGCTGAGGCAGGAGAATCACTTGAACTGAGGAGGCAGAGGTTGCAGTGAGCTGGGATCGTACTACCGCACTCCAGCCTGGGTGATAGAATGAGACTCCATCCCTCCGCCTTCCAAAAAAAGCACTAATGTTCATGAGAGGACGTGTGGAAAACAAACTATGTAATGTGAATAGCAGTAACCATTCCTACATTTCTAGTGTTATCATTCATGTTTTGGTTAACAATGATTTTTTGTGCAGATGCAGTTTTATTGCAGTCCTAGTGATTCTTATTATTGATTTGTTGGAGAAAAGAATATTATTCCTTGCTATTTTGTTGCAAATAGAGCTCAGTTTCTTTAGAATGTTATTTGTTAGGTATCTACCTCAGATTCAAGTTGAGAATTTACAAACCAATAAATGTTATCCCTGTAAAATTAATTGAGTTTATTTAGGCCCTTTTTGATAGTTTTTTTAGTCGAAGTGAGAAGCTTGTGTTCCTGGTAAATAGTTTTATGAATATGTATAGTTGTAAAGGCATACTTATTGTCAGTGTAACTGTTGATGTGTTTATTTCTATTTTATTGGAGGGCCTGAGTGATAGTAATTAACTTAGTGTTTTGTGCTGAAGTTTTGGCCAGCAGGGCCTGGGCCTACATGTCTGTTTTAGTGGTGACAGCCACTCTAGTAACTGAGCGAGTTAGAAGGAAAGTGGCACGCTCTGAGTTACAAATTAAGAGTCCTTTATGAATTAGCCAGCAACCAAGAGACGGCTACCGCTCAAAATTCTCTTGGCCCGGTGGAAGGGGCCTGATTATCTTTTATACCTTGATTGAGGTAGGGGAGGGCAGTACCTAGCTGAAGCGGAATTTTACAGAAGCAGAAATGCAGGTTAGAGGAAGAAGCTGCAGGCACAGGTGGTTTCCATACAATTACCAAGTGGGGGAACAATTCAGTCTCCTTCTACACAATGATCAAAGGGACACTTTTTTCTTACAATAGCAGTGGGTAGGTATACCAGGCAGGAAGCAGTTACAGTGGTTACAAGTGTTAAGAATGGTACCTTCAATGCTTCTAAGTGCAGCACGACCCAGTTATGCACCCGAAGGGGCTGTGGTAAGGAGGGGGAAGCCAGGTTGCAGTTTAGAGCTAAAATGGAGTCAGTTTTGCTAGCCCAGGGTAGGTTATTACATTATCCCTTTAAATTAATTGAGCTTTTTTAGGCCTTTGGAAGATGCATTGATTCTTACAGAAAGAAAATTTTTATCAATAAACTTTTAACCATTTTAGACTCTTCTATCTTAGCTAAAGACAATTTAACATTTATAAAGAATGCCACAAAGGATCCTGAGACTTGAGATGTTGTTGTTGCCTTTAAGAGAGAGTTGTTCTGGAAAATGAAAATAATTTACTCTATGATTTTTCTTTTCAAATTCTATTTTTGTAAGGATGGAAAATAGCAGTGATTTCTTAAACTATTAGAATATATAAAAAGTGAAAACTAAATCAGAATCTAAAAAGTATCAGTTCAAGGTTTTTATTACTCATTTCATTAAAACAGCAAATCTAAGCAAATATTAAATGAGATCAAAAAGTTAAAGTAGCTTCAACCGTGAATATCAAGTTAACCATATTGGCGAGACTGTTTACCTGCAACTTCCTAGATTTAGATGTGTCATTTTCTATCATATGTCAGAACATTTTTTTGAGACAGAGTCTCACTTTAGTTGCCCAGGCTGGAGTGCAATGGCGCAATCTTGGCTCACCACAGCCTCTGTCTCCTGGGTTCAAGCGATCCTCCTGCCTGAGCCTCCCAAGTAGCTTGGATTATAGGCATGAGCCACCAAGCCTGGCTAATTTGGTATTTTTAGTAGAGATGTGGTTTCACCACGTTGCTCAGGCTGGTCTCAAACTCTTGACCTCAGGTGATCCACCTGCGTCGGCCTACCATTGTACTGGGATTATAGGCATGAGCCACCATACCTGGCACATCAGAACTTTTTATTCACCTGAACACTATTAAATTACTGCTCCAGTGAATTGAGTGGTCCAGTGTTCTCCTAAAAGAATTTCATTGACACCTGCCACATATTGTCATTGTTAGAGGCTTTTAGGCATATCAGGAAAAAAGAGAGATGATTTATTTTCTGTAAATTATGCATTTACTTTTAGTGGTTAGCCACAAGATCATTTGTGGTGCCTGCTTTTTGGGTTTAGAATCAGGCATAGAAGTGTAGGTGGGATTGTGAAAGCTAAGAAACTTTTGGAACAATATTTTATAAATATGTGGTATTATTTGTGTAAAAATTATTCAGTTTGCTTATCAAATGTAAATAGGTAAGCTAACCAACAGTAGGAAGAATTTAAAAAAATACAAAGAACAAAAATTACACACCTTGTTATTAAAATCAAGTAACAGACATTTTTTTGACTGTCTTTGCTCAGAACCTTCTGTTGTCTCAAGAAACAGTAGTCCTGGTTTATAAGCATCATATGAAACACATTTTGCCACCTAGTATATTATTAAGAACAGCACTATATTGAATCAGGTCAATCTATGTATGTCTGTCTGGGTCACCTAGCAGCCAGTTGATTCTGCTCAATTCCTTGGGTTATTTACTTGGCAGCAGCAGGAAGCATTACACACTCTTTTGGAAGTACCCCAGTCAGCTTTTCTCTCAGCAGCAATGCATGCTTGTCAGAAATGGCCTCTCCTTTCTATTCATTCTGGAGCAGAGTCCTACCTCCAAGTTTGCCCCAGAAACTTATGTGACATTATATGTCACTGAGGTCATTTGTACTTCTTTGCTTGAATAGACTTCCTCATAAGTCTGGTTTTGTGAATATCAAGTTTTTGTCAATTGGGAAAAGTACAAAAAAATAAAAAAGGTAATGTTTATGAGCTATTGCTGATTTATTTTGAAAATTTAACCTTCTCCCTGAATTAAAGCTTTTCTTGTTCTCTTTTATTTTAGAAGATAGAGTAAATGTGGCGGATTTCGGAAAACTAGAATGGCTTTTCCCAGAAACAACAGCAAATTTTGATAAACTGTTAATTCAGTATCGGGGATTTTGTGCTTACACGTTTGCTGCAACAGATGGTTTTCTCCTTCCAGGTATATCATTGGAAATAAGACTGCTCTCCTTTCCCCAATTTTTTCTTTATATGAAGTGCTGCCATTTCACTTGCGTATTCACTTTAAAAACTTTATGGAATCTAATGGTGACTAGCAAAGGAGCTACAAAGATGATCCAGACAAAGTCTTCGTTTTGGAGGTGCTCTGGTAGACTGACATAAGCAAGAAATTATACGTGATAAGTAATGGAAGGTGTATATATATTATGAAATATGGATGCTGTAGTACCATAGAAAGAGAATGACTTATATGCCAAATGAAGAATTCTAGAAATGTTACATGACATTGGCCAGATGTGGTGGCTCACGCCTGTAATCACAGCACTTTGGGAGACCGATGGGTGGATCACTTGAGGTCAGGATTGGAGAGCAGCCAGGCCAACGTGGTGAAACCCTGTCTTTACTAAAAATACAAAAATTATCCAGGTGTGGTGGCACGTACCCGTAGTCCAGCTACCCAGGAGACTAAGGCATGAGAATCACTTGAACCAGGGAGGCAGAGATTGCAGTGAGCAGAGATCACACCACTGCATTTCAGCTGGGCAACAAAGCAAGACTGCATGTCAAAAACAAAACAAAAAATGTTACACAACACTACTAAAAATATATTCCAAGGCAATTACCAAAAGAGCAATACTTATTTGACTGAGGTATTTGTTAAAAAATATTCTTTGTCGCCGGGCGCGGTGGCTCACGCCTGTAATCCCAGCACTTTGGGAGGCCGAGGCGGGTGGATCACGAGGTCAAGAGATCGAGACCATCCTGGTCAACATGGTGAAACCCCACCTCTACTAAAAATACAAAAATTAGCTGGGCATGGTGGCACACACCTGTAGTCCCAGCTACTAGGGAGGCTGAGGCAGGAGAATTGCTTGAACCCAGGAGGCAGAGGTTGCGGTGAGCCAAGATTGCGCCATTGCACTCCAGCCTGGGTAACAAGAGTGAAACTCCATCTCCAAAAAATATATATATATATTCTTTGTCACTTTGCAGTTATATTTCACTGGCATAGATCAGGATTTCTCTGTTAGACCCCTATAACGAAGTGGCTAATAGTTTATCAAGTAAAATTTCTTTGTGGTATATATACTATTAGAGCTTCTCCAAAATAAATAATAATTTAGAGATAGAGATGAAATAAATTGTCATCCAAAAAGTGCTGTGTGAATTGTGAATTAAAAAAAGCATGCTAGGGCTAGAATGACAACAGTGTGACAAGATTGTGTCTTATTTATTTTACACCATTAACCTTATTTTCCTTCTTTCTTCATTATTTTTAAAAATTTGTTATGTCTCACTATTATTTTTTCATTAAAAATAATTATTGGGATTGTGTGTATACAGGCTAGAGAGAACACACAATTGGCTTATTCAAAAAATCTTACTACATTTTTGATAACAGAAATAACAAAATATTTACTGTGGGAAATTGAGTGAGTAATATACTGAGGCCCAATGAGGGTCACTAATACTGGGGAGAAAATAATCAAAAGCCATGCAGAAAAATGTAATGGAATGTAGATAGCTTCCATTTCTTTTCTGTCTTCTCCCTGTCTCCTTCCCTCCCTCGCTTCCCTCCTCTCCCTCCCCTCCCTCCCCCCTTCCCCTCCCCTCTCCTCCCCTCCCTCCCTCCCTCCTTTCCTTCCTTCCCTGTTTCACACAAATAAGAAAGGGGAAAAGAGAAATATGCATGTGGTTGAAAAAGCTATGGCTAGGGTTCAGAAAAGCCTGGTCTGTGTCCTTAGTAAACTAGGTAACCTTTTTGAAATCTCACACCTTCTGTGGACCTCAGTTTCCCCTCGGGAAAATGGAAAGGATCAACCAGGAGGTCTATATGGTCCCTTCCAGCTTCTCCCAACTATGGGTCTAAGAAAGAGGGTGAAGTAGAAAAGTAGAAGAGCTTGTGAGGCCATGAGTTTCAGATTCCTCTCTGAATAAGCAAATTCTGACTATTTCTGCTTACTACATGATTTCTACTTCATAATTTTTTGGGCAGCAGCAATCTGCATTACCTCAGATGAATTCTGTAGAACTTCCCTTCTTCCATGTGGGAGTGGAGACCACATGGCTTAAATCCCAGTGTAACACTGGGGCTTCCCAATGAGGGTCCTTTTCAGATGCCTTCGCTGACTTCATTGCCTACCCCGCTTTCTCTCATTTGCGCCACTCCAGTGGCACTGGCTTTCCTGCCGTTGTTGAACAATTGAAGCCGACTTTCACCTCAGAGCTTTTGCACTCTGCTAGGAAAGCTCTGCCTCCCAGGTCGCTACTGGCCTTGTGCCTTATTTTATTCAGCCTTCCCTGATCACCCAGAATATCAATTGCACACTTCTTCCTTTTACTATGTGTTTAACCTGCTTTGTTATTTTTTTATATAGCACTTGTCACTCTGTTGCCTACAATATATTTGGATTTTTTGAGGGAAGGGAATTTGTTTTCTTCTGTAGCCTTAACACCAAGAACAAGGTCAATAACTGTTGGATAAATGAAAGAATAAATGAATAACACAGTGTTACTCTAATACAACTTCCACAAACTATGTGGATGTTTAATTATCTATAGTCTTATCTTTTTACAGTGGAAAATATTTGCTAACATGCAAATTTGCATTTTGGAAAAGCTGTTCCATTTTTGTAGTTCTTTTTTTTTTTTTTGAGACAGAGTTTTGCTCTTGTTACCCAGGCTGGAGTGCAATGGCGTGATCTCGGCTCACTGAAACCTCCGCCTCCTAGGTTCAGGCAATTCTCCTGCCTCAGCCTCCTGAGTAGCTGGGATTACAGGCACAGGCCACCATGCCCAGCTAATTTTTTGTATTTTAAGTAGAGACGGGGTTTCACCATGTTGACCAGGATGGTCTCGATCTCTTGACCTCGTGATCCACCCGCCTCAGCCTCCCAAAGTGTTGGGATTACAGGCATGAGCCACCGCGCCCGGCCCGTTTTTGTAGTTCTTACTGGATTATTTTAAAGACAGTCCTTGCAGCAGTTAGTTTAGTTTAAGTAGCTTTGAAAAATCTGCCAGATGAGTAAGTGGCTTTTCATAAAAGATTTTTTAAACTGTTATATCTGGATAGTGGAAAGTATTTTTACATAAAATACAATTTAAAATCATACTTTAACATAAAAAAATATATATAAAATTATGAATTTCACATACCACTCAATAAAATGTATAAATTAAAATGCTAGTTATAACATTTTAGCAAAATAAAAGCATAAGTGGTATGTTAAAAATGGAGTGGAAGGGGCCGGGCACAGTGGCTCACACCTGTAACCTATCACTTTGGGAGGCTGAGGTGAGGGGATCACCTGAGGTTAGGAGTTTGAGACTGCTATGGTCAAACCCCGTTTCTACTAAAAGTACAAAATTTAGCCAGGTGTGGTGTCATGTGCCTGTAGTCCCAGCTACTCAGGAGGCTGAGACAGGAGAATTGCTTGAACCTGGGAGGCAGAGGTTACAGTGAGCTGAGATCATGCTACTGCACTCTGGCCTCAGTGACAGAGTGAGACTTTGTCTCAAAAAAAAAAAAAAAAAAAAGGAGTGGAAGGGCCAGGAGTGGTGGCTCGTGCCTGTAATCCTAGCATTTTGGGAGGCTGAGGTGAGAAGAGTGCTTGAGTCCAGGAGTTTGAGACCAGCCTGGGTGACATGGTGAATACCCATCTCTACAAAAAATACAAGAAAGATTAGCTAGGTTTGGTGGCACGTGCCTGTAGTCCCAGCTACCTGGGAGGCTAAGGCAGGAGGATCACTTGAGTCTGGGAGGTTGATGCTGCAGTTAGTTGAGATTGTGCCACTGCACTCTAGCCTGGGTGATAAGAGTGTGACATTGTCTCAAAAAAAAAAAAAAAAAAAAAATGGAGTGGATGGGGAATAGCTCTGTGGGTATATTACAAACACAGAATAACAGTATTTCTTTTTCTTTCTTTCTTTCTTTCTTTCTTTCTTTCTTTCTTTCTTTCTTTCTTTCTCTCTCTCTCTCTCTTCTTTCTTTCTTTCTTTTTTTTTTTTTTTTGAGACAGAGTCTCGATTTGTTACCCAGGCTGGAGTGCAGTGGCATAATCTCAGCTCAGGGCAACCTCTGTCTCCCAGGTTCAAGCTATTCTCCTGCTCAGCCTCTTGAATAGCTGGAATTACATGTGCACACCACCATGCCTATCTAATTTTTGTATTTTTAGTAGAGACAGGGCTTCACCATGTTGGTCATGCTGGTCTCAAACTCCTGACCTCAGGTGGTCTGCCTGCTTTGGCCTCCCAAAGTGCTGGGATTACAGGTGTGAGCCACCATGCCCAGCCAGAATAACAATATTTCATAAGTGATCAAGACATTTCATATCTAATTCTTTTTTTATTTTCAGGAAACCCAGCAATTGGAATTTTAAAATATAAAGAAAAATATTACATATTCAGTAGTAAAGATGCTGCATACTCATTTGCAGAAAATCCTGAACATTATATTGATATAGTTAGAGAAAAGGCCAAAAAACATACAGAGTTAATTCAGCTATTGGAACTTCATCAACAGTTTGAAACACTTATTCCATATTCTCAGGTAAGCAGGGTCAAGATTTTATGACTTTATGACATTTAAAAGTATAGTTAATTTAAAAATTATATTTTATTGTAGAATTCTTCCCAATTCCAGGAAGAGAAAGGGAGTCAGATGAGGATCTTTATATAGGCTGTGTGAAATGGATTCACATCTGAAGATGGAAACTAACGGAATCCGTAAAGAATAATGAAAATAGGATATGGAGTCAAATTGATGAATTAGCAAATGGGAAAAATCTGAATGAGAAAGACTTCATTTACTTATAAATAATTGAAGTTGCAGTATATTTTTTTATCTAAAATCAGAGGAGCTCAACACAGATAATAACTTAGAGCTGCAAAACAGTTTAACAGGTTTAAATTGTAGTAGACTGAAAGGCCACAGAATGGATTTCAAGGTGAGTTTCCTGTATGTCTGTGTCTAGTGATTCATTCATCTTATTTTATAATCCACTTACTGTCTGCCAGTAATTATTCTTGGCATAGGGGATTTAGTGAAACAAAACAGATAAAAATATCTGCCTGTTTGGAACTCACAGTTGAATACCATGTATTCTCATGTACTTCCTCTTTGTTTCTCATTTTCATTGTTCATCTCTTTTTTTGTTCTTTGTAGAGACAAGGTCTCACTCTGTTACCCAGGAGTGTAGAGCAGTGGCACAATCAGCTCACCGTAGCCTCCCAACTCCTGGGTTCAAGGGATCCTCTTGCCTCAGCCTCCCAAGTAGCTGAGACTACAGGCGAATGTCACCATGCCTGGCTAATTTTTAAATTTTTTTCTTTTTTGTAGAGATAGGGTCTTGCCATGTTGCCCAGGCTGGTCCCAAACTTGTGGCCTCAAGTCATCCTCCTGCCTTGGCATTCCAAAGTGTTGGGATTGTAGGCGTGAGCTGCCATGCTCAGCCTGTTCTTCATCTCTTAAGTGGTCTTTCTGTCTCTCCTCTCTCTTTTAAACTCACTCAATTGAAAACATTTTTAAATACATGGTTTAAAATGTCTTTTGTTTACATTTTTTTTTGTTTGTTTTGAGATGGAGTCTCGCTCTGTCGCCCAGGCTGGAGTGCGGTGGTGAGATCTCGGCTCACTGCAACCTCCACCTCCTGAGTTCAAGGGATTCTCCTGCCTCAGCCTCCTGAATAGCTGAAACTACAGGCACACACCACCATCCTGACCAACTGTTTGGTTTTTTGTAGTTTTAGTAGAGATGGGGTTTCATCATGTTATCCAGGATGGTCTCAATCTCCTGACCTGATCCACCCCTCTCAGCATCCCAAAGTGCTGGGATTACAGGTGTAAACCACGGCGCCCAGCCTTTTTTTTTTTTTTAAAGGAAGTCTCGCTGTATTGCCCAGTCTAGGGAGCAGTGGCAGGATCTTAATTCACTGCAACTTCCACCTCCCAGGTTCAAGCAATTTTCCGGTCAGCCTCTTAAATAGCTGGGATTACAGGCACACACCATCACGCCTGGCTAATTTTTGTATTTTTAGTAGAGACGGGATTTCACCATATTGGTCAGGCTGGTCTCGAACTCTGACCTCAGGTGATCCACCTGCCTCAGCCTCCCAAAGTGTGAGTCACCACGTAAGCTACCATGCCCGGCCTTGTTTGCTATTTTTATCAACATTTTAACTATGAAGCAGGTGGCCTTTGTGTCACTGACCTGGCCAGCAGTGGTTCAAGCGGTAATGAGTAAAAGGTCTGTTGGGCTAGTGACAGTAGAGCACAGAAGATGTTCTGGACACATGGGTTAGGAAGATCAGAAACTAAGGACTGACTCATCTGAGTGGGGTGGGGGAGGTATGGCAGTCAGGACCATGGACAGCTCAGGTGGCGCTGTTACTCTGACATCGTGATGTCTGTTGATATGGCACTCAAGCTCGCCTTTCCAATGAAGCTATTCTGCAGAGCCTTCTAGGTTCTTCCTGTTGTGATGAGAGATTAGTATTGTCTACAGTGTCTTTCTGTATGTGAGCCAAATAGTAGGTAGGCCCATAATTTTTGTTTCCCCGGAAAGGTTACTCTGAAAATGTACCAATTCAGCTTCATCATGAGGCTTGTCAGTTACCCATAATCCTGTGAGGAGTTGTTAATACCTCAGTTTGTAATATTTGCCAATTTGATGAATTTAAAATGGTACTTATTCGTGTTTTATTGTACATTTTTCTGACAGTGAAGTTCATCTCTTATCTGTTCAGATTTCCCCTTCTGTGCATTGCCTATTTATAACTTTTGCCAGTTTTTTTTTTCCATTCCACTCTTTCTGTTTTTAAGTTGCTGATTGGCAGTTCCTTGTCTATTCTAAATATTAATCCTTTATAAGTTATAAAAGTTGCAAATGTCTTTTCCCAGCCTGGTACCTCTCTGTTAACTTTGTAAGTTGAGTCCTTCATTGAAGACACATCTTTAATTTTGATGTAGTCATATCTATTACATTTTTTCCTTTAAAGATTGTACTTTTAAAAAATCTTATTTTAGAAATTTTCTGTCTTAAGATTATTCTTTTACACTTTCTTTTTATTTATTTATTTTTTTGAGACAGAGGCTCACTCTGTAGTCCAGGCTGGAGTGCAATTGCATGAACATGGATCACTACAGCATTGACCTCCTGGGCTCAAGCAATCCCCTTGTCTTGGGCTTCTGTGTACCTGAGGTGACAGACATGCACCACCATGCCTACCTAATTTTTTTTTTAAGTTTTTGTGGAGATGGGGCCTCACTTTGTTGCTCAGGCTGGTCTTGAACTCCTAGGTTTAAGCAGTCCTCCTACCCCTCGGCCTCCCAAAGTGCTGGGATTATAGGTGTGAGCCACCACATCCAGCCCATATTCTTATTTTTAAATTATCAATCTAATAACAGATACTCCCTAAAAGAAAATGACATTTATTCAGGAATAGGCACTGCAATGGGAATACACTTGCCGTAGTAAATCATGTATCTATTCAGGAAGGTAAAGAAAGAAAAAGGCCATTAAAGGAAAAATTAGGAGGATTACATAATTGTTTAAGATAATTATCCTTGGCTTGATTGAACAGGCAGTTGGTAGGCAGATGTCCTCACAGAAATATTTTTTCTGTGTAAGATTGTGGTGACCTTTCTACAATATTGTGTTTTTTGGAGAGTCTCTTGTGATAATTTTTATCAAGGTTTGCCGTGAGAACCCTTCCTTTATGGCCATCCCTGGCTCTATTTGTCTGAGTTTTTAAGACAAGCTACACAATTTTGATTCTGACAACTTTCACACAACTTATTTTTTTACATTTAGATCTTTAGTCTATTTGGAGATAATAAAGGATTCTAACAGTATTTTTCTTCATGTGGTAAGCCAGTTTTCTTAACATTATTTACTAAATGATGTAAATGTATATCCCACAAAATATGATGCATCTCTATTAACTTTCGTATGAAATAGGTTTGTTTCTAGGCTTTCTATTCTGTTGCATTGGTCTATTTATCATCTCTATGCTGATACCACACTGGTTTCATTACTATTGCTTTCTAATATATTTTATTATCTGATAAAGAAGCTCTCTTCCTTGACTTTTAGCTTTCAAAATTTTCCATGAAGTTTCTTAATAAATTTGCTAAGTTTCCCCCAAAAAATCTTACTGGAATTTTAACTGGAATTGTATTAAACTAATGAGATAATTTGTAGGGGAATTCATATATTTATTATATTGGATTGTCCCATCAATGAAAATACCATTTGCCTGGTGTTTTTTCCTATAGTAGTTTTGTTAATTATGCCTTAATAAAACTTGATGGATTTAGCTGTATTTTAGCCTCTACCCATTTCTAAAATAGTAGTTGAGTTTTTGCCATTTGTGTATGTGTTCCTAAGTAATATATTTCTATGAAATGACCTCATTTTGTCCAATTTTTTATTTGATTTTTTTATTAATTGATTTCTCTTTATCTTAGTGATTTTGCAGGAAGTGCTTTTTCAAAATTATATTTTGGATATGAATTCCTTGTTAAATATATGTTTTGAAGATATGTTTTCTCAGTTTATGGCTTATGTTTTCATACTTTTTGTGGTATCTCTTGTTGAACAGGTCTTTCGTTTTAATGTGTAATTTGTCATTATTTTTTTCTTGATGCCTTAAGAAGTTCTTATGTATCCTGAGATCACAAAAATATTCTTATCTTTTTTTAAAAGGCATGTTTTATCTATTATATAGAGTCTTTAGTCCACGTGGATTTTATTTTTGCTTGTGGTGGGAGGTAAAGATCCAATTTTAATGTTTTCCCATTTGTAGTGAAAGTGTTGTAGACTGTTAACAGTCTCTCCTTTCCCCACTGATCTACAGTGTCTTATCAATAACCACAGGCTTGTTTTTATACTCTCTATTATGTTCAGTTATTCAGTTTTTAAAAAATTCCTGTACTGATACCTTCAGTAGCTTTATAAGTCTTGGTATCTGGTAGAGTAAGTTTTCACATTTTTTATTCTCTAAAAAGTCTTGGCTGTACATAATGAAGTTCCATTAAAAACCCTTGAAGGGATTTTTGAAATTGCCTTGTATATGTAGATTAGTAAGAGAAGAATGACATTTTTGCAACATTGAGTCTCCCTATCCAAAGCATCAATGTAGTTTTATAATACTTCCTATGAAAGAATTGCACATTTTTTGGTTATGTTTATTTGTAAGGACTTTATAATTTTTATTGCTATTTTAAAGCTGTTGATACTTAGGATTGAATTTAGTTCATTGTTGCTTATATTATGGAAATATGGTTAATTTCTGCATATTGATTTTATCTTCAGCAAGCTTAATACACTCCCTTACTAATTCTAATAATTGATATTTGAGAGCCTATTGACATTTAGAGTCTATTAGGTTTTTTTTTTTTAATGTGGGCCATCATAATGTATGCAAATAATAATTGTTTCCCCTAGACTTCGTATTTTTTTTTTTTAACATTATGCTTTATTACAGGAGGTGAATGTTATTGTAGGGTGGGGGCATCACGGTAAGGAAAGAAATCAGGGCTGCAGCCGGG